TTGATGACGAGCCCGAATTCATTGTCGTCATCGCTTGAAGCCTCTTCCACCGGTTCCTTGGTGGCTTTGAGAGCTATCCCCTTTTTCTTTTGTTCATCCAAAGACGGGGTTAGAATAGTAGATTCATAGGTTTTAAGATTACCTCTTAGCCCGTCGATGGTGACGTTGGAGACTCCGATGGATTCGTAGATTGCATCGGCTTTTGACCTCCATTCGGGTGTGAGACTCCGCAGGATTTTCCTCACAAGATCCTTGTTGGTGTAGGTCTTTTTGAGAGCATGAAGATCGTTGATGATCTTTGAGAACCGGTCGAACATGTCATCAATTTTCTCACCTTCTTTCATCCGGAACATTTCGTACTCTTGGGTGAGGAAGTCGATCTTGGCTTCGCGAACTTGATCGGTACCTTCGTACGTCACTTCAAGCTTGTCCCACATCTCCTTGGCGGTTGTGCAACAGGAGATCTTTCGGTAGTCATCGGGGTTGACTGCGCAATATAGCATATTGATGGCCTTTGCATAGTTTTTGATCTTCTTGATGTCCTCGGCATCAAATTCGTCTTCGGTCTTTGGGACCGTGGTTTCTCCCACTTTCTTCATAGGGATTTCTTCGCCATTGTTGATCACCAACCACAATTGGAAGTTGGTGGAACGAATATAGATTCTCATCCGTTCCTTCCAATAAGAGTAGTTGGTGCCATCAAAGAGTGGTGGCCTAGAGGTTGATTGACCTTCTCCAATTCCTGCATAGAGATTTCTAGAAGAAGAGCCCATGATCGCTTTACTCTCAAACGATTAAGTTTGGGCGCGAGTTAGGCTCTGATACCAATTGTTAGAATAATAGACCAACGCTAGAGGGGGGGTGAATAGCGTTTGATCAAGAAATCGCAGGAATAAAAATGAATAAGCGAGAAGTAAAGAGAAAAGAACGAGGCACACCGATTTTACCCTGGTTCACCACAACTTGTGGCTAGTCCAGCCTCCCGAGAGACTCTCTCGAGCTACACTACCTTCCTCATATTTCGAGATTTATACTTCTTTTAGTCTAGAAATAGACTTTTGGTCAATCATTAGTAGTTAGTAGCTATTTCTTGGAGTTTTCACGGGCGGTTTGTGCTCCGGTGCTCTCACTTTACGAAAGTAAGTTCTTTTACTCTTTTAATATTCAACTTAATTATGTTTTTCTATATGTATGTGTTTAGATCTACTATGATGAAGAACTAAATCCCTTAGGGATGTGATTCATAGTAGGGTAATGGAAATTTCTTGATAAAATTACTTGGTTGGTATTTTTCTTTCATTAATTCAATTACAAGTTGTTATTAAAATTGGGTTTTTATGGTGATTAATATATTGAGAAATTGTTAATCAATTCTTTGAATTATAATTGGGATTTTGGAGAAATCTAGATCTTAATTAAGTCAACCATTTTAATACAAACTTTTAATCACTATAACTAGGATTAATTGTTGAATAAATATTTAACAAATATTTATTCACTAGTACCCAAATTGATTAATTTAAATTAAATCAATCCAACCAATAAAAGTAATCTTGAAAATATTCCATTACCTGAACATGAATTACATCCCTGCTTTTGAAATCCTCACGATCTATATATATATATATATATATATATATATATATATATATATATATATATATATATATATATATATATATATATATATATATATATATATATATATATATATACACACACACACA